ATTCACGTATTAAAGCGTTTCAATCAGTTTCGGCTAAAATTGGTCTCAAAATAATTGCCACAAAATATGACACAATAGGAAGTGCTGTCCTATTGTTCAGAAAAGTTGAAGATTATTATGAAATCCCAAACATTGAAAATATTGTTAATATAACAAAAGATTATATGAAATGGTTTCCAGTCTTGAAAGAAAAAATCATCACTTCAAAAGCTAAGGCTAATAATTGTGATAACATATGGCTTATGGCAAACGACACAACAATCAATGGTATCATTGGTTTAATGAATTGTTTGCGTTTAAAACCAGGAGGAGAGATATTTCGCTATATTTTCTATAACGATAACAATAATAACGAAAATTGTATTGACTTTACAGTCGAACCCTATTCTAATATATTGGCCAATGATTTGGTAGCAAATGTTATGAAAGGGGAAGTTGTGGGCACTTATAGACACTTAAAACTGCCTAAATACTTCAATAAATGTCTATCAAATGATTACTTCTTAAATATGGGACAAACACGTGATATATCGGGTTTGCAATGGTTTGACGGGCGAAATGTACCGCTAATTAAATACGATTTTGGCAATAATAAAGTGGACAAAACAAGAGTTGATATTTATTGCTCTGGTATTTCTTTTCGTGATCTATCAATAACTAATGGTAATTATACTGAACTCACTGATCAAATGATCTTGGTAACTTTTTAAATTCTAATCTAAATTTCAGGCCATATTTCTGGTGGTTTTGACTCAATGTTTACTGATTGTCTGTTGGGCGGGGAATACGCCGGGCGTCGGGCGGATACCGGGCAACGGGTTATGGGTATTGAGTTCGGGCGCTGTATTGCCACTCACGTTAACGCCTGTGTCTTCAATATGGCTCCGATACCCGATCACTGGTCAATGGCTGAGGCGGTGACTGTACTCAATAGCTATTCTACAGTATATTATGCACTCATTAAAAAGGCTAATATTAAAAAAGGTATGTTTTGAGTTAACTATTTTGTAGTTATAATAGAATTGTATTATGTATTCGATAGGCGAAAGTGTATTAATACATTCCGAAGCGGGAAGTGTAAGTCAGGCGGCCATTAATGTGTGCGAACACTACGGATGCGATATCTATGTGACGGTTGGGACGGAAGAGGAAAAACAGTTTCTCATCAAAGAGTATAATATTCCGGAGAATCGGATCTTTAGGTCAAGAGATATGCGATTCAAGAGTGAGATAATTGAGGCGACAAACGGTCGGGGAATAGATGTTGTGCTCAACTCATTGACCGGCAAAAAGTCGGACTTGAGTTTTGAATGTTTGGCAAAAGGTGGTAGGTTTATACAGTTGAACAAATTGGACCATGGGCAAAATGGGCAAAATCGTAAACACAATCCATACGATTTTGACGGCGATATTCAACACATCGTAGTTTCAGCCAATCATTTGATTACAGACATCGGGTTTTTGCCAGAGTTTTATGAATGGATTCAACTTAACTCTAATCCAAAGGGTTTTGTCCGTCCATTGAATTATACTGTATTTGGACCCAAAAGAGTTGTCGATGCGTTTCGTTATATGACTACCGGTCGACACATCGGGAAAGTAGTCATTAAATATAGGGACGAACCGTCAGATGTGTTGTCATTGAATGGCATTACTCCAGCTTATGATCTTAATGTTGACATTAAAACATATTTCAATAGTGAAAAAGTATTCATAATAACGGGTGGTTTGGGAGGAATGGGATTGGAGTTGATGTCATGGATGCATATGAGAGGCGCCCGAAAGTTTGTACTCACTTCTCGTTCTGGTATTAAAACTAATTATCAAAAGTTTTTCATCAATCGTATGAAATCTTATTGCAAAACAAATCAATATTTTGAGTCCCAAATCA